AGTCATTAGCATTCTAGCATTCTGCTTCGCTATCGGATACTATGTGAATGAGGTCAGTCCCGGTCAGGTCAGGCTTTGTATCTAAGTCTTCCCTGCGCTATTCAGCACCATTTTGTATGTATTAGAATGCACATTGCTTGTTGAGATTCTACTTGCACTGCATTGTCCATTCAGTCCTTTTTATCACATTGCGGATCCTCGGTTTCTATGTACATCGCCCAACTGGGCATGTAACAGGCTGGCTGGGCGGTTGCTGCACCTGATAGGTCCTGTACTCATCTGAAATCTTGTCTGGGCCTGTGTGTGTGATATCTGTGGCTGAAGTTGACTTCTGGAGAATTCTTTGACTCTTGGTCTTTCTATGTCGAACTGGGCTTGGTTGTTGATTCCCATCCCAAGTAAATACTTGTATAGCATGCGTTAACTGGGTTATCTTTTCCCAAGCCGGCATTGTACACAGACAAAATGAAATGAATGCTCACAAAAGAAGGTGATTTTGGTCACAAGTCGGAGCAGTGGTGCTGAGGTACAATAGGGGTTCATCTGCAAGAATGTTTGGAATGTCTGCAATGGACTGCAGGGCGTCTTAGCAAAATGCTGACGTGCAACACATTCTGTTCTCTACAGCACAAAGATGAACCAAAGGAGAAGACAGCAAGCCATCCAACACTCGTCTTCCTTCACGGCTTCCTTGGACAAGCAAGTGACTGGGCACCCATAATGTGTGCCCTCTCACTGTCTTTCCGATGCATAGCAGTGGACCTTCCTGGACATGGTGGGACTTCTGTGCAGCGTCAAGGCCCAGAGCAAAGAGCTGGTAGACACAGCTTGTCCGATTCATCGCCAAAGACTGACCCAGCATTCAAGATTAACCAAGCTGATCCTCTGTCTAGTGCCAGGGAGAAAAAAGCCAGACACGAACTCAACGGTGAGTCACAACAAGGCAACAAGTGGCAGAGTGCTTGCGGTTCTTCTGATGAAACTGGGGAAGGGAGTCAGCCAAGTGGGTACAAGGAAGAGGGGTCCAAAAGACCGTTACTGAGGGAAGAAGAAGGAGAAGAGCATGCTGGTGACTGGAAGATGGCTGCATTGTCTGTGGAGAATGTAGCGGAGGCTCTCAGTATGCTGGTCAGGAAACTTGTCGATGAGCCATGCATTGTTGTTGGGTATTCGATGGGTGCACGGGTGGCCTTACATATGGCAACATATCATTCTGAAGTGGTAAGTTAAGAAAGATCCCCTTGTTCCACTTCCAAGTCCCAGAAGCTACCTCGCTTTTGATATGGCTTCTCCCCTTCCTTCACCAGTCATGAATGATGTCATTGGTTGCCTGTATAAGAATTACCATTTGGGGCTCTAAAGCGCTATATGCCTCTCAAAATTACCAGTTAGCTGACATTTCTTTTTTTTTTTTTGAAGGGAAATTTCAAATTCGTGACATTTTTTCCCCCCCAATGTTTTTGGCATACTCAGCAGTGTTGCACACCCTGACTGTCAGCGACCCTTGACTGGTCGACTGCAGACCCGCAGACTGGTCGGCTGGTCGGCACCTACCGGTCAGGGGTTGTCGGCACCCTGCAAAAAAAAAAAGAAAAAAAAAAGGGTCCAGAACGCCTAATAACCCCACCAACACCCCCATACCCACCCCAAATACCCCCATAC